ACAAAGAATATAATTCTATACAATTTCTACACAAATGTGTCATGTATCCGGAAGTCTAAGACTTGATTGGCCTGATTAACTTCAACTCCGGATACACTCTGATTACTCAACTCCAAGGCTTCACTGGCCTGGTGGACGAAATCCTAAACTCTGGCTTGGGATTTAAAAGTATCCCTGATGCATTCTTGGTAGGATGGTTTGAAGTTGAAGCGTTTATCTATCCAAACTCCGTTCGCAAACGAAATCTCCGGGCAGCCTTCGCGGAAGGCAACTAATATCAAATTCAGATTACTTTCTTTTATTAGTTTAGATTTATTTTATTTTATTTTCTTGCTATTTTAGTTATTTGTTTCAAATATTTTTTGTCTAGTTTTTATATGCGAAGTGGTAATTCTGAGACTTTGTAATTTGATCCAGAAATCGAGAGAACAGCTCGTGCAAACAGAAAAGAAGCAAAACTAAGAAAGGAGAAGAATCAGAGTGAAACCATGGGTGATAGAATTCGGACACTGAGGGATTACTTCACACCTACGGAGAATGTTGCTAGGTCAAGTATTACTAGGCCTACCATTGCTGCGAATACCTTTGAGCTCAAGCTAGCATTGATCCAGATGGTACAGCAGAATCAATTCTCCAGTTTTAACAATGAGGATCCAAATGCGCATATTGACAAATTTTAGAGATCTGTGATACTGCTAAGATAAATGGTGTGACGTCTGATGCAAGACATAGTTGCATAAGTTTGATATAGATATGCCATGAAAAGTTGTGTTTGATTCACTCATACTTATATGATTTGTATGTGGAACCAATCATGTTGTGAAGGAAAAGTAAGGCATTAACCCAATATCAGCCTTAAAAAACTTTATTGCTTTGACACTTTGTGTTAAGTAAGTTTGGGGGAGGGGTGTTGGCGGATGCTTCTGAGGTTAGGTTAAATTTAATGAGGGAGAAAAGGAAGAGCATTCAATGTTGATACTAGCCCATTGAGAGGTGAGGAATTGGCAACCTGAGCGGAGAGTCCTCAGGCCCGGTGAGGAAAAATAGATATATAGACTGCCCTAAGTTACTGAGCCATTGTGTATAGGAGTGGAAAAATACTCTGGATAGTGACTTGAGTTAGAAAGAGTCCTGAAGAAAAGTCGCATGGACCGAAGAATGGGTCACGAGGGGGAATAGGTTGTCTGTGAGATAAATCCTTCTATTTCATAGTATGTTTGGTGGTCCATTGCATTGAAATATGGTATGAAATGTGAATCTGTGTTAAAGTGTTAATATATGGCATATTTGCAGTAGAGCTTTTATTTTCTATGTTAAATGTAAAGTGATGTCCCTAAGAAACGAATCGCGCACACACACAAGCGTGGGGGGCTAAAAGTAGCTATAGTTTGCATTTTGTTAGGTAGTGCATACTAGAGGTAGTCGAAATCTGTGTGTTATATGATGATTGAATCTTTGAGGCTGCCGAATTAAATAATTTAATGTTTTTGTTTATTTTAATTCTTGGGAATACTTGAGGACAAACAATAATTCAAGTTTGGAGGTATTTGATATGCTTATATTTTACATATTTATTATATCCTTAATTTGTCATTTTTGCAATATATTTTGAGTACAAATATGCTATTTATATGATATTATCTTTATTTGTAGGTTTTGTACTCAAATGGAGGAATTGTTAAAATTTTGGGCTAAAATGAAGAAAAAGTAACTCAAAGGAAGAATTGAAGATTTGTTAAATTGACAAGGAAGAAATTGAAGCACTTGAAGAGTTGGAGGAGTTTTAATTTAAATTGAATTGAAAAAAAAAATAACTTTCTTATTCCTGAAGAAATAGGATTTGACGAAAGCCTATAAAAGGAGGATTATGGTTTTATTTTTGAGAGGAGACTTAAACAAAAAAAAAAAAAAATCCCACGCAGCCCGCAGCCACCTCTCCTCCTTGCTCCACTCCCACGCACCACTTTAATTAGTCTCCACCACCGAACATCACCATCATCATCATCATCATCAACGCCCAAACTCTTTCCCACGCCACCATTCACCACACCTAACCCACGCACATCATCGGAGGGGGAACGAAGCAGCAGTTTATCAACCTCGACTCAATTTTGCGACTTCTCTCTCCCGGATTTCATTGTTTTATTTATTTTTGAGATGATGTATGGCTAAATTATTTAATCTAGGGTTTTGGATGTACTCGCCGTACTATTTAATTTAATTTAAGTTATGATTGTGACTTTTTCATTAATTAATATTTATTATTCTTATTTTTCATCCATGTGAATACTTGATCAATATTTGCATGCTTTAAGGTACTAGCTGAAGTAGCGAGAGTGGAAGGCTAGTATTAGTTTGTAGGAATAATAAACTTAGGTAGTGACCCACGAGAGTAAGAACACCGCCTCTGCGACTAGTAATTCTAAAGTTCTTAATGTGCTTTTATTAATCCCTATAGTCACGAGAGTAGTCATAGGATTAGTTTAAGTAAGAGGGTTATGACATGAGAATGTATAATTCTTAAATTGGTGAATTGTCGTGAGATTAATGAGAGTCGAAAGTCGCATATCTATAGATTAAATTAAACTGAATAGTCGGTTGGTGAACCCTTTGTCCTAGATTTTTCTTTTACTTATTTATATCTTTAAATAATTGCAATTGTTAGTTTTAGGTTTAGATTAGTTTAAATTGATAAATTGTTAATCTAAATAATAATAAGAAATAATTTTAACCGGTACTTGGTATCCATCTTTGTGGGATCGACCCTGCTTGCTACTTTACTACTAGTAATTGTATTAAGTAGGTAATTAATATTTGACTAGTGTAACGACGGCTTGTCAGTTGCAATTCGCCATCGACATGGATTTTGAAAAACTTGATTTCAATTCGTCCAAACTTTTCGACCCGGCAAAGTTCAGGATCATAAACCCTAAAGCCTAAACAAATTTAAAAACTTAAAGTGTACTATTATTGTGGGACGGAGGTAGTACATTAATTAAATAATAATGAAGTTATAATAAAAGACACCAAATTGGGCTTGCCTGCATACATGGGCTTGAGTTTTACGCGAAGATTTGCTTGAGTCGAACTATTCTGCTGATAATTAATCGTCCATGGCGTCGGCACGTCCAAGGAGTTTATACTTTATAGTAGTAGAGACTAATAAATCAACTACCACCAGAAATTAAACAATGACTAGAACACAATTTAATTGAGAATTTTCAGAATGTAAATTGTAATTAATTAAACAATACATACTCTTGTCTTTGCCTCACATGTTTTTTTTTTTTAAAAAAAAAGATAGATAATATAAGTAATAGATCAATGCTTTTAGAATGTAGACATTCACAAATTGCAACGACGTGTGGTAATGCAACAATCAATACAAAATTTTAGCAGCTGTTATCGTCAGAAAACCCTAAACAAAGGATAAGAAAGGCGTAAAATGACAATGAGTGAAACTTTTGTATGATTCGAAGAAATTCTGTATTTGTATGTATGTATAAAAAAGAATGCAGGTGATGTATTGATTATACTAGAATATAGTCTCTTAAAATAAATCAGTCACTCTTTTTGCTAAAATGATTTAGTATTGACCCCTTTGTTCTAACATGATTATTATATTTATGTTAAAAATAAAATTTTAAACTGAATAACTATTTCGATACTGAGGAAATATAATTGTTGCAAGCTCACATTACCCATTTAAGCACCATCGGACCCGTATGAAACTTCTTCTTTAGGAGATTCTTGAAGTTCTTTCACTCGGATGAATTGCATGCAAAATTGAGTTGTTGGTTTTGTCGGTTCTAATGATACTATTTAAAGCTTGCTTACATTAAAATTAAAATTGTGCAGAATTACAATGTTGGGCATGAACACCTCTTTAAGGTCATTATTATGGAGTAGGACATAACACACCTCCGCTCAAGTATGGATTTTGGTCATGTTAGTTTGACATAAATTTCCATCGATTTCATTAATAAAAGAAACTCTAGAATATAATAAAGCTATTGTATTGATCTCGTTCATTATTAGTGACGGAACCAGCAGGGACACAGATACATATGATCACGCCCTTTCTGTTTTTTCTAGTTAGTTGAGATATTTTAGTATTATTGTATTTAACTAATTTTTGCACATACTTTGTATAAATCTCGCATTATCTTTCTCAAATCTATGAATCTAATAATAATAAGTAATAACCAACCATTATTAGAACAAACAGTCACTGGTGTTCCTTGCATTGGGTGTCCCGGTTTGCCGCCCCGGGGTTTGAGGGGGAGTACTAGTGTTTGATGCAAAAAGAGGGACTGAGGGAGTTCTACTACATGAACGAAAGGGTGCATAAAAAATTCTAGCTGAAGTGGTAGTGGCTTCCACCGAAAGGGTTTCGCATCCATCCATCCATCCATCAAAGACTATATATACATATATATATATATATATATATATGTCACAATATTGTCAACTTTAAAAACCGAATAAAAAATTCTTTGTTTGAACGGACCAAATAAAAATTTTTAAACATGCGTATCAATTTGGAAATTGAATTATGTTGAGATTTGAATATTTTACAATCTTGGTGCTTTGTTAGTTCAAGTTAGCCCAACTGAACTCCACGTAAGTCAGGGTCAAGGAAAAATTAATTTGAAGTAACATGGATTTTAATTTGTGCTTTACCATTGAAATTTATAATTAAAATCGGAGGGATTACTTTAGTAAGATAAGAAGAAGAAACACGTCGACTATATCTGACAAAAGATTTCACACTGCAAAAATGAAGTAGCAAAAATAATTTGAAAAAATAAATAAAAATAAAAATCCTTAGATTGAGTTTATCAAACCAGCTATTCCAACCACACTCCCTCGCTTTTTATTGCCATAGTTAAACCAAGCAGCCTGACAGTGTTTCTAGCTAGCTACACTATTCAAAGAACAAAACAAAACAAAAACAAAAACAAAAACCGCTTAAAATGATGCAACATAACTTATGCCGCCTTGTGTTCAAGGACTTCCCTGTGGTTGCTTAGCTTCAGATGCCAGCGACTCATTAACCATCTTCTTCATTGCGCTAGTTTGAAAGGCTTTCCCACCAAATCTTCGACGAGGTTCATCTCCTTCCCTGCCCGTGTCGTCCCTATCCCTCTTAGCCCCCTTTCGGCTGAAGCTTCGGTTGCCTGCTCTAGCTGCTCCACAATCCATATCAAACCCTAAACCAGTTGATGCTCTCTGCCTTGTGAGAGCGCACATTTCAGTTAGCATATTTACCCTTCCTTCCCTCTCGTATGTTGATCTGCTGCCCATTTTTTACTCAATGTGCGCCAGCCCATATCCCAGGTCCTGGCATGCACTATCATCTGCTGCTATGCATGCCCTCAACCTCCTCTGGCCTTTCGCCAGGATTGATTTCACACGAGACATTTCTCCTTCCTCGGCTGCTTCGTGCGCAAGCGCCATTGCTTCCGCAACTTCTAGCCTCTTCTATTGCCACACCACTTCCACACACGGGTCCTGTGGTTCAACCACCGCTTGAGGCCTCTGGATCTTCACTTCCTCGCTTCTTACAATCACCAATTCATTGGTCAAAGGATTGTTGTAAACACATCTCACCTTAATTCAACAATGTAGTAGTTTTGGTTTCAGTTTTAGATGGAGCCTTAACCGCAACCAGAAAATCCCTCTCCTCTTCAGCGTACAAGTCTCCGACATCAATGTTCCCCATCCGACCATCTGGGGTGATTTGATTGGAATAACTTCCGGACTTCAAACCACAAAGGCTCACTCTAGAATGAATAGACTCAATCTTCACCTGAAGCTCCTTGACCATAACGCTCAAAAGGCCACCAATGCACTGAGCAAAGGCATGCTGAATCTCGCTTGCCGTCTCAATGAAAGAAAAGGTTCATCGAGTTATCTCCGCAACTGAATGCATCAGTGAAGCATCATGATCTGATCCAAACCCAAAAGTATGTACCGGGACCTTAAAATTAGAGCTCTTTTCATTGTTGAATGAAGGTGGAAGAAGTTGTTGGTAATCAGGATGCTTATATATGTTACCATATCCCCTACTGCTACTGAATCTACATATATCTTCTCCGTCAGATAACAAAATAATACCGGAAATCGGATTCTTGTGTCTCCGATCTTCCATCACCTTGGCACCCAAACGCAGGCCTTCAGCTATGTTTGTCGATCCACCAGCCGTTAAACTGTTAACAGCTTCCAGCGCTTGCTGCTTTCCTGATCCAGACATCCTACGAAGCGGAAACACGCACCGAGCTTCAGAAGAGAAGGAAATGACAGAAAGCCTGTCGTTGGGACCGAGGTTCTGTATGACAAACCCGTAGCCCGCTTTAACAATGCAATCTTGGAACCAGCCATGCTTCCACTCACATCAAGAACATTAACTAGGTCAACCGGCACACGAGATGATGAAGATTCTCTGCTGGCAATGGCATCAGGAGCTTTGAGGTTTATCAACACTGTGAAGTTATCAGGAGCATTGGACCGCGAGACGGCTGGGAATTCTGTGTAGGTTTTCACCTCCAGCAGCTCATTTGCTACTGGAGAAGAAGAAGTAGAATTCGGGTTTGAGGAGGAGGGATTATCAGCTTGATCTAAAGGCAAGTCATCATTGTAGGAAGCAAGCTCAAAAGGAATTAGGACATCGTCATCATAAGGATGATATCGGGGAAACCGGGGCCTTTTGAGTCCATCTTACGGAGTAGACAAGACAAACTCGGGTACTACGAGAAGTGATACAATCAAAGTGAAAACTATGAGAACACTCAGCCGTGAACTAGGCCTAACCATTTGTTGATGAGTTACAAATTGTTAGAATATATTGACGGTAGGATTAAATATGTCTTTGTACGTTGTAATTCCGAAAAATTCTAGTAAACCCTAAACCTAAGCCTAGCTACGTACGTTGTATATATGGATGACTTTTGGCCTCTGATAATACATATGAATACAGTAATCATATTATTTGTCTTTCATGGTATCAGGCTTGAATTTATTCGAGCCATCTCAGTTATAAACTCTCTGTTGTTGTGATTTTCTCTTGACTTCTTTCACCGGCTTTATCCTATGGCGATCGGTGAAGAATCAAGTGACTCCGGTGTCTCAAAAACAGTGACTGGTGGTGCTGCTGTTGAACCTTCCCGGCGAAAAACGATCGATCCTTATGACCTCTTCGCCGCCGATAATCCTGATAATCCAATCACCACTGTCATGCTGAAGTTGGATAATTATGATGAATGGGCACGTTCCATACGTATGTCTCTTCGCGCCCATAAGAAATTTGGCTTTGTGGATGGATCAATTCCACAGCTGCCGGCGAACCATCCCGATCTCGAAGACTGGTGGACGAATAATTCTCTTCCAATCGCTTGGTTGTTGAACTCCATCGACCCATCAATTCGGTCCACAATCCCACACCCCGAAGTTTTTGCTGCTCTTTGGACCGATCTGTCGGAGCGATTTGGTGTTGTAAATGGTCCCAAAATTCAACAGTTGAAAGTGGAGTTAGCCTAAGTATGGCTTCATACTATGGCAAACTCCAGCAACTTTGGGAAGATCTTGAACATTATGAGCCACCGTTGGAATGTTCCTGTGGTTCAGCCAAATTTGTTGATAAATGTGATGCTCGTCGTGAACCCGAGAAGCTTCACCAACTTCTCATGGGTTTAGATGCTTCTGTTTTTGGCACTGTCAGGTCGAGTATCTTGTCGCAAGATCCTTTTCCGTCCGTTAATCGCTCGTATGCGCTTCTGGTGCAAGAAAAACGTCTGTGTGCTCACGTTCCTAACGAGCCTGTTGCCGACGCTCTTAGTTTTGTTGTGCGAGGCATTGTCCGTCCTTCTTCTCGTTCGCGTCTGCCTGCTCAATCCGAGTCAAAGGCTACTGTCGAATGGAAAGACAAGTCCTCTCTGATGTGTACTCACTGACAAAAACCCGGCCATGAAGCTGCCGGTTGTTTTGACTTGATTGGCTATCCTGAGTGGTGGGGGTCTCCGGCGCCTCGTCGTGGTGGTTTTGGATGTGGTTCTGCTGGTCGTGGCTCCTCCGGTCGCGTGGCGGGTTCTGGTTCTTCTTTGATTGCTGCGGGTCACGGCAATCAAGCTGAATGCGTCTCGGACCAATGCTGCTCTTGCTCCGAGAATCATTTTGCAGGCTCTACTATTTTGGAAGGAGATAAAGTGGCTGTAACCGGTCTCTCACCCGATCAATGGCAAACCCTAGTGTCTTTACTCAATAAAAATAAGTTCGGTGATTCTCTTTCTGGTAAGAATTTGTCTAATACGTGGATGTATGACTGCGGTGCCTCCCATCATATGACGGGTTTTATATATTTTTTGGTGGATTTACGTTCTATTTCCTTTCGTCCGGTTCATTTGCCGGATGGTACTGTGACGTATGCTTCTCAAGCTGGCCGGGTGCATTTGAGTGATTCTGTGGTGTTGGATAATGTTCTTTATGTTCTCAATTTTCATTGTAGTTTGATCTCTTTGTATCATATGTTGGAGGATTTGGGGTGTGTAGCTCAGTTTACTAATAAATTTTGTGTTATTCAAGACCGCATTACGAGGACGCTAATTGGAGCAGGTGAGCAGTTGGGGTCTTTACTTCTTCCGGAGGCCGGCTGTTGCAAGTATTGTTCGTGCCGTGGTTGGTGACTCCTCTCAATTATGGCATCAACGGTTAGGGCATCCTTCTGTCAAGGTTCTTCAGCAACTATCTTTGGTTGATTCTAGTAGTAGTATGGTTTTCAATAAGACGTGCGATGTATGTTTTCGCGCAAAACAATCTCGAGCCAGTTTTTCTCTTAGTAATTCTCAAAGTACTGAATTATTCTCTTTGATACATTGGATTTGTGGGGACTATATCGCGTTCCTACTTTGTGTGATGCGAAATATTTTTTGACTATATTTTTTGACTATATGGGTGGTGTGATTCTAATTAGGCCAGTTGCCCGCTTTCTCGCTTATCTCTTATTGGTTGGTTTATCACTCTTTTCCCCCATCTCCTGGCGTACTAAGAAATAGGCGGTTGTTTTTCGTTCTTCTGCAGAAACTGAGTATCATGCCATGGCCAATACCGTTTGTGAGTTGAAGTGGTTGAAAGCTCTGTTACGTAGTCTTGGTGTGGTCAATCTCGCCCTATGCAACTTCATTGTGATAGGCAGTCTGCCTTACATATTGTGGCTAATCCGGTCATGATGTGAGTTGAAGTAATTGAAAGCTCTGTTACGTAGTCTTGGTGTGGTCAATCTCGCCCTATGCAACTTCATTGTGATACGCAGTCTGCCTTACATATTGTGGCTAATCCGGTCTTTCATGAGCGTACCAAGCATATAAAGGTGGATTGCCATTTTTTTCGTGACGAGTTTGTTAAAGGTGTTATTGCTCTGTGCTATGTGCCTTCTCACAACCAATTGGCGGATCTCTTCACTAAGGCCTTAGGTCTTCAACAACAGTTTAGTTTCCTTTTGTCCAAGTTGGCATTCGTAACTTGCATGCTCCACCTTGACGGGGTTGTTAGAATATATTGACGGTAGGATTAAATATGTCTAAATATGTCTTTGTACTTTGTAATACCGGAAAGTTCTAGTAAACCCTAAACCTAACCCTAGCTACATACCTTGTATATATGGCCGACTTTTGTCCTCTGATAATACATATGAATACAGTAATCATATTCTCTGTCTCTTCACATATCAAACATGTGTTCTGCAAATCAACAAACAAACAAACAGCCAATCAGACACTAAGAAAGGAGTGAAATTGAATCAATTGGAAATTTCAAAAGAAGATTATATACGGACAAACATAACAATTAAATCATCACAACCTAAGGCGCGAAAATAAATAAGCTGTAGAGATAATGAATGTTCTACGGAAAAATTAGGCTATCTATACTAAATACTCCGACCAATGCATGTTTTAATTGTAGAACTTTGTAAAATTGTCGTGCATGGCATATGAACGAAAGACGAATCATGTAAGCACACGTAGAAAACAATTCGTACAATGTTTATCGGAACAAACATCTTCCTAGTAGAAGTATCTAATACACAAGTACAAGAACAATAACAAGAAGAGGAAGAAGAAGAAAGACATCGATCTTAATGCTTACCTCCATGTTGAAAGAAATTCCTCAGATCAGACTGAAACTTGGACGACTTGACCGGCGGCAATGCTTTTTAGTAAAGAAGAAGAGATTGGAGATTGTAAGGATGTTAGTAAAGTCTTGGAAACAAACTGCGGTATTTATAGGCCTTTTCCGTTAGGGCTTACACCGCCTCTTGCCCCTATTTTTTCGCCTTAAGAACCGGAGTTGGGCTAAAGCCCAGTTTAATTTACTATAGTTTTTAAATAATAATCCATATATACTCCAACAATGGGCTTTTAATAGACGTAAATGGGACCCACGTTGTTATAACATGCCATCACAATGGACTTTAATCTCACTACTATCTAGGATTTAAATTAAAATAAAATATGATGATGATGAAATTCTGTGGTTCAAAAGAAACAAATGAAGATCGTAAACTCCTAGCTGTCAGACGAACCCTTTTTTTTTTTTTTTGGGTATTGTGGTGGTATTATTTCAAGCATTATAATCATATTATCGCGCGAAATCGAGCTAATCTTCTTTTGAGCCGAGTAGATAAATGATAAGTAATGAAATATTTCGCCAAGCTATTATCTAAAGTGTAAACGCTACAGCTCAATACGCTTTTTTAGTACTCCTTCTTTTATCCTAATTCTTTCGTTTCGAAATTATTGTCCAATTTGAACTTTTCTTTTTAATTGTATTGAACTAAAATTAAAAATTCAAATTGGACAATAATTTTGGATTAGAGGAAGTATAATAAAGTTTGAAGTTTGAAAACTAAGATTTGAGAAATTACACAATGTAGGTGTTGGAAATTGAAACATTAAAATATCACAAAAAAATTCCAGGTTGAGTATTACATTTATTCATCGACCCGGTTCAAACAAATGTAATACTCAACCCGATTTTATATGAAATATGTATCCTCAGGGAACCAAACTTTGGTAATCCAATATTTACGTTGACCACGTAACCTCACTACATTGGTGGTTTTTGGAAAATAATGAGAATGATTGTGTATAGAAGAATGAGATAAGAAATGAGGATCGGATATTCACAAAAATTCTTGAGGTTTGATTCTGAGAACCATAATAGTTCATAGTACTGTTAAGAGACTTCCCCTGCATGCATGCCTGAGGCTGGGAATGTGTTTCGTTGATCATATCACCTTCCATCTTAGCTCAACGTGTATCTGTCCATTCTGGGAATCAATTAAATGGTATTTCTCGTTTATTCTTCCATTGTGTACAACATCGACGAGGTTAACATCCACATGACCTAATGATTCCTGCACAGAACGAAAATGGTTCGGTATTAGTCCTAGCAGAAAACTTCAGTATTATTAGCATATGGGAGTGATCAATGTCAGGGATTGCGTGAGATACCGTTGATCGGAAACCAAGCCTTGTTCGCTTGCTCATGACCTCTATATGAAGCTTATCAGATATGGGAGGCTCATCCAACATGAACTGGAACTCCTCATTCCATAGCGGATTGCGAGTTTTCCTGATCATCTAGAGGAAACCAAAAAGATATCAATTCCCCTTTATCATGAAAGGCTGAAATAAGGAACAATTTTTTTAAATCAGGATGATTTTGCTTTCATTGTGAGCAGAGAAAATCAGCAGTTACTGAAAGCAGCAGTAATACCTCACCTTTGATTTCTTTTTTTCTCCTCTGAAGATCAATAAGACGTAGGGATTGTTATGTCGGGAGCCCTCCACATCCTCGGCTCCATAAACTGTGACCATAAGTACTCCGCTGGAATTCTCATTACTGGACTGGCTATCACTTCTGCTATTTCTCTTGCTGTATCCATCGAGAGGGCCACTAAACAAAATGGTATCTTCTCTGAAAGGAGCATACCTCACCTCCAGCACAATCTGCCCTCGCTGCTTCTTGTTATGGGTATCATGAGTTACATCTGTACTCTTGAGCAGATCAAGAGTTAATTCTTTTGTTTCATTAGGATTTAGAAGCTTCAAAGGATAAATTTGCATTCCGAGCTTGTCATGTGCCCCAACCTGAACCACGTATCAATCAAAGAAAATGTTCTCGTCATTTAAAACCTATTTGAAGTTTAAGGTTTGACTTCCAGTAATAATCGTTTTCAGCACTTCCTCAATTAATGTATTCTAACTCTCTAATCATATACTCCCTCCGTCTGAAAAAAAAAACAGTCCACATTGAGTTTTGATTTTTGTACTGTTTTTAGTACAAATTTGAAAACTCAACGTGGACTATGTTTTTGGGACGGAGGTAGTACTAGCTAAAAGATGCACCAACCTTGTCCCAATCATAGACATCTATGAGAAGAACTTGAGACTGAGGGTCCTTCACAATCAGCTTAAAATTCTCATTCCACTCAGGATATAATGTCTTCTTCTTGATGGTGGTTTTCTTTGCAGGCAACCTATCGCCAGTTAGACTTAACTTGACATAAGGGTCAGATTGTCCAAGTAAGTCCATCTTCAAGAGTTTCATAGCTCGTATAACTCTCACATGCAAAATCCCAACAGGCTTCTTGGCAGCCACACTGTACAAGAAAGCGGGAAAAAAAAAGGAAGGTACTGAATTTAAGGCATGTTGCAAGGGTCAAATTAAATACTCAAACAATAGTTCACAAGTTAGCATCAACTTCAAGCTTATCTTATAACTTACAAGGAGAAACTTACGTGGAGGCATCGAGAATCGGTATGTCAAGGAATTGGGGCCATAAGTAGAGGCTTGACACTTGCCTCTTGATAGTATCCTGCAAAATGTAGAAATGCTTTCATCAAACTGAAAAATACTCTCTTACACCCATTGCTGGATCCAAATCAGATAAAAGCCGCCTACTAATTGTCACCTGTACATATCGATATAGACCAGGAATGGACATGATATCACCTCCCAAGATTTTTAAACCAAAGTCGATTTGTGGCTGCATAATTCAGACCATTCATCAGCTAAAACAAAGTACTCAGTCAATATTTAGATTGACAGAAACGAGACGTTAAATCATACATTCTGCTTACTTTCTCCATCAAAGAGACCATTATATTTGTAAAACATGGAAATGTTGGAACAAGTGATTTCAGTGTGATTCGAGGAGCAGCGATAACTTGTAATTCCACTAGCTGAAATCAAACATCAGACCTGTCAGAAAATATTATATACAAGGAACTGAATTAAAAAAGCAAGTTAAATTTCATAAACACCAGCTCTAACCTCGATTAAGATTTTCCTTGAGAACAATTTCACTGCCACGATTATATTTTGGTTGCCGACCCACTTGATTGCTGGTTCCATGACAAGTTCCTTCTCATTTGTCTCGTAAACTTTAAGACCTGACATGATATATTGTTTATATCTGGTTAGCGTGCAGGGCAAAACGATATCACAGAGGCATTGCTGATTGATGTCCTTAAGAACTTGATAAATCCTTCTGATCTCATAGACAAGGTTCAAGAAATGCAAACTACAGAACTTTGTATTAGTTTCAAAAGAGCTCGTGAAGGTGCAATATTTCTTAAAACAACTTGGATTAGAATACAAACTCACCATGAATTGTAGGTGGAAGAGTTCCTAGGTCTATTTTCTCAAGTTCAATAGATTCTATCTTACACATCCCTATATATTCTGCAAATATTGGCTGTGCAATGCTTCTAATGGTTTCGTGAATCGCCTGCAAAGCAAGTAAACTAACTTTTACAACTGCTTTGAAGAAAATAAACATCTTTATCATGATGCAAAAAGTAACTACCTTATCAATGAAAGGCCACATCTCAAGGATAAACTTGTTTAACCAGTCTACCTGAATTGTCAAGAAAAGCAAGTCTAACATTCAGGGATAAGAACTCGATTAATCAAAACATTAGGCTAAAATATGGAGCTGCGAAGGGAAAGACCTACCCGCTCATAATCAGGATTCTTAACCCACCAAGGAATTTCATGCATAAGATCTTCCATTGCAGTTGAATCGGAGTCATCAATTGTCCTGATCTTAGGATCCTGTAGTTTCAAATTATACAAAGACCTAGTTAGTCTCTCATGTCCTGAAGTGCAAAGGCATGTATCGAAATTCTGTATGTCTCATGAGTAAACCATAAAAAGGCAAGGTGGGAATTCTTTTAACAGTAAGATCTGAATATCTGAAAGTACTAACCATCAAGAAGCAATCCAAACACGAAAGCATAACTAGAAACCATAGCTAATTAGTAGAGTTATTTAAGCGCAGGGGATTAGCAATGTGAAAGTATGCGGGAAAAAAAAACTTGGTGATAAGAAAGACAACTGCTAGCATATTTCTTGTCAAACAATCCTCAATAGTCAATATCAAGAAACAGTACAGACTCATTGCCATCCTGATATATAGTTTCATGTCACACTCAGCAAATTCCAGGTTACTCAGGTGCACAGGCTTTCCCCCATTATGCATTCATCAAACACTTACCTCAAAATTTTTTTACTTGTAATGAGGGGCATGTAGAGTTAATTTAATATTTCATAAAAATACCCAACGGTTCAATCTGTTTTCTCAACTATTCTCATTTCCAGCACACGGTAAAATCTGAAAATAACTAAGAAAAGATAAACCATTGAAGGTAAATGTGTAATATAACTCCCAAGCCCAAAATTTAGACTTATCCAAGGCACCTAAATTGGCCAAGAAAGAAAATTTTGCTAATTCCTCATTAACAATGCGAAAGAATGTGCACCAAAATACATGCCAAGAATCACAATGGCAAAACAATTCTGACTCCCAAAACTTCTGCGGACGACATTGATTAATACGCACTAGAAACAGGACAATCAAGACTCAAAATAACGTAATAGCAGAAACAAAAAGCAGAGAACTTTCTGTTGTAAATACACTAAAGCTTGAACTTTCTTTTTGTAACTGAATAGCCAGCCATGTTGTCATAAAACTTGATCAGAGTTCAGAAATAATCACCTCAATATCTCCAGGTTCAGAATAGATGAACAGATAGAATCCAATCACAATCCCAACGACGGACCCGATTCCAAAACCAAGAATTCCCAACAGGGTGCTCAAAAAACCCATCAGGTAGAAACGGGCATAATCGAAGATGATCAAGAACAGGAGAAAAGAAGCCAAGGCAGATGAAAAAGAAAGAAAAGGGCGTACAAAGTGCAGGTGGCCGGAACTGGAAAGTTTATGAATGGAATAAGTCATCAAAAAAAAGGAGGAAATTAAAAAACAACGCATCCAAAAGAATATAAAAAATTCTCGATAGAATCTAAGAAGGCGATGGAATATTTAGCCAGTGGAGTGGAGTTCTTAAAACGTAACGAATAGGAAGGAAGGAGATGAAAACGAAACCGCCAAAAAGGCAAGAAACAGAGCCAACCCATCACAGAGTTCAAAATTGAGGATTAAAAAAATGCAATCTTTGCTGCGTGTTTCAAAAATTTGTTCAGTAAAATTTTCTTGGGATTTTGTCAAATGGGGCGTTAGGCACTAACTCGTGCTGTGGTATTCAGTGCCAAAAGGCGAATTAAATTTGGATTGAACCTGGAATCCAATGACTAATGGTTAGTGTACATTTGTTCTTTGTTGATGTCAAAACCCTCCTCGTTTCCCACATTGAAATTTTACAGTGACACTTAATGATATACATATATAAAAATCACAATGAATATTAAAATGTATTTTTTCTAAAAAAAAAATTAATTAAAAAAACATACTCGGTGAAATTTAAAACAAATCAAAATGTCTCGGATGGAATATATTCTTGTTTGGGATCTCATTTAGAAAACACAATTAAAATACTTTAGCATCTTAGCGATTTGTTTAATTCGATTTTCAATTTAAGAACCTAATCTCATGTTGTCACACTGATCAATTTATGTTACAGAACATGAATGATACACAAGAATATACTCTTGGTTGAATCCTGCAATGGGAGAAAAAGGTTGGTACTTAGTAGTTACGAAATCATTAAAATCACCAACCTGAAGAAAACATCTAGAAGTTGCAATTGTTATACTGGGCACCCGGTGCTATCTATGCGGGTGACGCGCGCTCACCCCTTTTTTTGCCCTTTTTTTAATTTTTTTAATTTTATTACTTTTATTATTTTTAAATTCCAACTTAAACACAAATAACTAGACCCTAACTTAATTAAAATGTTTAAACCCACCTATACTCTAAACACTAAACATATTATGTTTTTTATTCGGTTTAAATTTTTTTAATTCAATTAGGCTAGGACCTCGTAGCCTAATTGAATTAAAAAAATTTATAAGTTATTCATGTTACATCACACATTAAATTCTAACATATTAATTACATGTGTAAAAGTGATTGAAATTACATTCAAAAAGTATTTTATAAAATTAAAAAAATTACAATACAAAAATAAAATTTAAAAAAAAAAGTACTGAGCAGGCGCGTTCAGCGCGCGCTGAATAACTTGCCTAGAAGCTGCGAGAAGGATGTATTTAAATCCATTTCTAAGTTTGCTTCTTCTGGTTTAATGGTTTTAAGTAAGACTTCCAATTGAGATGGACATCAAACTGTGAGTTGTGACGACTACGTGGTTGACCCTTTCGTAATTGTTGAATAAATTAATAGAGAAAAAAAGTTTTGTGGCCTTAAATAAGTAACCCAAAGTTATGATTTATGAATGAAAGTTACACCAATTCATCGATCACGTTTATCCTGCTTTCGCTCTGAAATTCGGATAAATTCACTCAAAAATTTCTATTTCCATCTACATTTGTTCTTAATAATAACTTATATGCATGTGAAATTCGGTGTTGCAGCAAGGACTAATTTATTAAAAAAAAAAAGTAATAGGAAAATTTTATATAAACACGAGAACGTAAAATCTCTAGTTGGCCAACCCAACTGTACCAACAAAAAGAAGAAAATGAAAAGTGTCAAGATCAAAAAATTGTGCGTACGACCGTTTCAACCACGGGGTGACCAATAGTCAAGTAATCTTTTCGTACGCTTTCATCTTGTTCTTATTTTATTTTTTTGATTAGGAAATTACGAAGTAATCATATGCAGAGGTACGTACATTTAAATTAACGTATATTACATTAACGAATTCGGGCATAGACGTGCAACTGTGATTAAAATACTTGTTGAGAAAATTTTGCTTCTCGAAAGAGACTTATCCGGCTCGAATTCGGGTTAGTTAGAGCAATAATTTCAAACACCAAATGCGTATAATATAAAAAAATAATAAAAAATTAAAGTACATTAAAAAAACTCAGTATATATTTATTTTATGGAATAAAGAGAGTAAGAGAAGTCTATCACAATTGTTCGTCAGAATATATGTTTTTTATATTCCTAGTAATCTTTACATTTTGAACAACCAAATCAATGAGTTCTTCATTCCTGGAATCTTGTCCAGCCTGCATATAATTTCTTATGGATTGCCTTTATTAGGAGGTGACAACTGGTAGTGCAGATATACATGCACAATAAATAAAGGGGAAAAAACAAACCTTAAAAAAAAAACAAGAAATAAAAACGAAACAATCAAATTAAGATGCAGAAACAAGTCCATTTGGATATCCCACCGATGCCTCTGAGCTGTTTTATGCTGTGTATGTTTTTATTTAGACATGGAGTTGATTAATTTTAAATATCAACGATTAATTTTTTGTATAAAGCTTACTTTTATAGAAATTAATACTAATCTATAATGAGCTTATTTTCTTGTTATTTTATTAAGATATTGTATAATGAATCATGATGTGATTCCGTTCATATATTCGCACATTGGAAAAAGCAGGAAACAGAAAGAGCTTTCCGAACTAATGGAATATTTATGAGAGAAAAGAGATTAATTTGCTAATCTTGGTTAATGAAAAGTTATAGAATTAATGTTGATTTTTAGTGATTAAACAGTAGTACGTCAAAGTACATGCACGACACGAACGCGTTGTCGTCTACGTACGAGGTTTTTCTTTAGTATACTAGGCGTGGTTTATTTAATCTTCAAGAGATCGATGCTCGAGAATTATTCCTGCCCTTTTAACTTTTTCTTAGCATTAGCCTAATTAAACTGTTTTAATAAAAACAAAAGTTTTAACTTTTAACTTTTAACCCCGCATTTGGTCAAACTTCTGGAAATGATTCTAGGCATGTTCAGCAATTTTCAAAGTTCCCCTCTGATGGCCCATTGTTTGCTGAGAGGAATTTGGCTGTTTCTCCAGTACCATTCAAGATCTCCATTGAGAATCCGATTTTTAGAAATGAAGAGCGCGGGAGCTACTAATAGAAAAGTAGAGCCAACAACAATCAGAAGTGAGAGATCTTTGGCTGTTTCTCCCCCCACTTATCCTTAGGCAAGGTCTTAGATACGGAAACCAGTGCTAACCATCTAGGTGAAAAAATTTCAAGTGCTACTAACCAAGTTGTACAGTCAACTGCCTCAACTTCCTTTCCAGAGTCAAGTGGTGAAATCAAATCGCATTCGACATCATCGGGGCACTCACTGTCAATTTCTCCTGCCATACTAGATGAAAAGTCATTGCAATCTCATTCATTATTTTCGTCCGTTTCAATCAATAGCTTTTCATCTGGTACTCCCTCTTCGGGGGACAAGGGAGCTGAGTCCCAAGAATCAGGATCCCAACCTCTTCTGGGGGTGTTTATTGAGAATCAACATTGAGAGTGCTTCAAGTCCTCCTGTCTCAGAAATGGCACCCAATAGCATGATTGGACGAGCATTGCCTTCTAAAGATGATTTATCAGCTTCTCCAGCTGCTATATTCACGGGGGTATCACTCGATGGAAAAGATGCCACTTCTGTGAACAATGAGGATGAGATGGAAGAGGAAGCTCCAGAAAGCAATCTGACTACCGAACTTTCACTAGGAGATCTTGGGGTGCTTGGATTTGGATCAAGCTCTACTTTAACTGTTACCAAACCAAATCCTTTTGGTGTTGAAACTGTTGGACCCGTTAGCTCCCAATTTCAAATGCCAGTCTCCAGGGGGGGATGTTCCGACCAGCATCCTTCAACTTTCAGTCTCCATTACCTTTGCAGCCATCAGTTGCATCAACCTCTAGTCTCTTCTCAAGTGGTTTTAGCAGTGGAGGTGGTAATTTAGGTCATTCCTCAGGTGGGTTTGTGTTGGATTTTTTCAGATGAAGAAAAAGAAAGAAAAAAGGAACTCATCGTTAAAGAAGAGAAAAGATAGAAGTCTGATAAAAAGTAATTACTTTCTTATTGATAAATAAAATATCAACTGACTTTAAATAAGCTTTACATAATAACCATGAAGAGAAAAAATAGGAATCAAATCCCACCTTAACTGAAACTAAAAAACAAGAAAATTAGGAATAATCTAACAACTAAATAATTGACCAAATCTACTTTGAATCAATCTCCAGCACTCTCCCATGATTCAAAGTAGCAAAAAAAAAAAAATGATGCGAATGAAAAATACGAATTTTGACGCACTTTCTCGTCAAATTTGTTGATGCACTATCTCACCAACCTTGTTGATGCATTCTCTCACCAACCAGACAATTTTGGAGTACTTCAATTTTCCTATTTGTTGATACACCTTCTCACCAACCTTCTTCAAAAAAGTGTTTCTTCTTCAGTTTCCAACATAACATTGGCTTGTTCTTCAACTTTAGTCCTACAATTTATTTGTAGGTGTCCAAATCTTTTGCACTTATAGCATTTAGGCTTTCCTCTAAACCAGCAGTCTTTTTCTTCATGACCTGGTTTCTTGCAATTTTCGCATTCAGTGATTTTACCCTTCCCTTTGGAGACCCTTGCCATATAAGCTCCATCAAGTACTTGTTCCTTTCTAGTATTTCTCATAATTCTTCTCTGCTCTTGTGCTTGTAGAGAGCTGGTCAATTCTGATGGAGTCATTATACTGACATCTTTTGATTCTTCGAGAGACGAGATTTTTGCTTCAAATTTTTCTGCCAAGCTCACAAGCATCTTTTCTACAATCCGGCTGTCAGGTAGTTGCTCTCCCATCAAGCGAATTTTGTTCACCACTGTCATCAACCTTTCAGAAAAATTCTCCACAGTTTTTTCTTCTTTCATGCTTAAAAACTCAAAATCTCTTTTAAGATTCAAGACCTTCATTTTCTTCGTCTTCTCATCACCTTGATATTATTGCTGCAAAATATCCCAAGCCTCCTTTGCTTTCTCACAAGTCATGATTCTTGTGAAAACTGACTCTGAAACGGTTGAAAAAATTATTGATAAAGCTCTTGGAGCTTTCGTTTCTTCTTCTTCATGAGCCTTGATCTGAGAACGTGTCGCATTGTTACCTAGAGGTGGTAATTCCACCTCATTAGCAACCCACTGCCAAAGACCAAGATCCTTTAAATGAGCTTTCATTTTGACTGCCCAAGCTTGATAGTTTTCACCTTTGGAAATTGGTGGTGGAGGAAATGAAGAATTGTTGGAAGCCAGGTTTTTTTTTTTCCTTTCACAAGCTCTCAGGATCAAAAAGCTCTAGATACCATGTTGGATTTTTTCAGATGAAGAAAAAGAAAGAAAAAAGGAACTCATCATTAAAAAAGAAATAAAGATAGAAGTCTGATAAAAACTAGTTACTTTCTTATTGATGAATAAAATACCAATTGCCTTTAAATAGGCTTTACATAATAACCATGAAGAGAAAAAAATAGGAATCAAATCCCACCTTAACTGAAACTAAAAAACAAGAAAATCAGGAATAATCTAAACAACTAAATAATTGACTAAATCTACTTTGAATCAATCTCCAACAGTTTGGCCAGCCTGCCAATTTGGGCAACAATCTCTTGGCTCGGTTCTTGGTGCCTTTGGACAGTCTAGGCAGCTTGGCGCGTTAGCCCACCTGGAAACTGTAGCGCACCGTATAGTGGGTTTGGTGGCAGTTTTACTGGGTCGCCAAGTGTTGGTTTTGGTTTTGCTGCTGCTACCACACCTGGTGGTGGGTTTGCTGCATCCGCCGCATCTGGAGGTGGGTTTGCCAATGTAGCCAATCCTGGTGGTGGTGGTGGTTTTGCGGGTGCTGCAACAGCTGGAGGTGGATTTGCTGCAGCCGCCACAGCATGTAAGTTATCATGTAATCCTTGCAAATGTATGTGCGCAGATTGCTGCATCCTATTCAGGAATTGATGAAATATTTCCACTCAAAATTGTTAGGCGGAGGGTTTGGAGCTTTAATTTCTCTGCATTTGTTAGTAGTTCTGGAGCTGGAAGGCCTCCATCTGATCTCTTTACGCAGATGAGAAAGTAGTAGGTGTGTAATTTTGTGAAAGGAACATTTATGTTAACAATTTTGCGTCGACTGTGTCTTTGTTATAGTTTACACTTGAAGGCTTACTACACGGACACTTTAGCTAGCAGACTTCGCTAGTTTATCAACACGCACAACGTGCCTAGTCTGGACTCATTCTCGAGTAGCCTGTTGATAGAATTGGTAGTTCAAGTAGTGAGTTGTGATTAGGAAGCTATAGGCCCAATCGTATTTTTCAGTATGTTCTCACTAGTTTCATGCCTAACAGTAGTTCTCTAAATAGCCAATCAATCAGCAGACTTTTGAGTGGTGCCAGATACTATCTGACGTTGAAATGTAAATTAAACTTTATAATTGGTTGTTACATTTTTTTTTTTTTTTTGGTGGTCGTTACATTTGGACCTAAGTACATTTTAGATTGAGACACATCGATTTAGTGATCTTGGTATGTAGCATATTGTTTTTACCTTTTTTCTGATGAATACTCCAGTTTATATTGACTGGCTTTACTTATTTTGACCAGAGTTAACGAATTTTAAAGTGCAGTAATTAATAAAATAATATAAAATGATGCAATTAAATACTCTTTAAATTAACTGAGCTGCCCAAAACTACTGTAATTTAAGGATAATTTAATATTGTTAACTTATAGATATAAAATGAATAATTATTAATGAATTTAAAATGTCTTAGCCAATGGACCAATTGAATTAAGAACGAAAATTGCCAACTGCGACTAGTTTGTATTACAGTATATTATAAATAATTTTAGTATTGATATTTTATGATGGAATATAATTTGTATTAAATTTTGGATAAATATATAATAAAAATGAGAAGTGTATAACATAATATGGTTGAAAAAGAATTTAATTTACCGTGGCGGAAGTTCGAAACTTGGAATATCTTTGTCAATGACATTTCTACAAAAATCTCTTGGTTAGCACTCGTTATTTTTTTATTATTATTTAAGTTGTTTTGTCCATAATATCGGCAATAGTTTTTGTTTTGTTTAGTTTTATTTATTTTTAACTTGTTTTAGTTATTTCAACCAAAAAATAAAATAAAATAAAAAACAAACAAAAGAAATGTTTCCTTGAGGAAGTAACGTATAAACTTGCACCAATTTTAGAGGAGATGAGACAAAATTAAACAGTTAACCAAATGATATAATGCGAATAAATAATACAAAACAACCATACATCCAAAGAATACAAAAAAAAATTAAAAACAAAATCTATGATTACACAGATTTTCATCAGAAAATTTTTCTATCTACTACTGTCGTTGACTTGAATGTGAACTCAAAAACAAAAGGTTATAAAATTAGTCAAATCCCATTTAGATCATTCGAGGAGATGTAATTTCAGAAGTACCGTTTCTACCAAAAGTAAAGAAATCTTCAACTTGAATCGGTATTTGTACACAATCTTACGGCCTCTCATCACCTCTAACTCACTATCCCCCACTAAGCGTGTAATAAAATTCTTTAGGGGTGATTATACAAGCAGTGCATGTCATTATTCTAAAACTCCTCAACAAAACTTTTCTTGCATAGACTTAAATCAATTCCGTGCTTGGCCCAACCTCCACAGCGTTGTATTACTCATCAAAACACAACATATAAATTCTCAACATTCTTTGTTACATAAGTAGATCAACTGTTAACAGACGAATTACTTTTAGAACTTAAACGACTCAGCTGAAGGACCCCTTCACAAATGAATCAAATTCTCTCTTTTTGTTGGGCAAGGCTTAATCAGATTATAGCTAAAATGATCTAATCATACAAAGGCCGCAGGGAGCAAGCATGGCAACAGTCAAAGAGGCCATTTAAATCTTAAATTTGGGATTAAGGACAGTCACAATTAAACCCACCTGCATCAATAAGGCTTTATTGACATATTTGGTGATGATGGAAGCTACTAAAACTGCTTGCATCAATGTAAAGAACAAATAATATTAACATAGGCCTTTTTGAAAATAAAGGACAATGCTTAAATCTAGGATCAACACCTTTCTGGGATTCACCAGAATTTGTCTATAATTGCAATGTAACACTAACACTGCATGGATTACCATTTTGATCTCCAATTAGTCCCCCAACAAAATGGTGCCCAATTCCATCCATAGATAAAAGAATAAAATGTCTAAATGGTCCTTTACATTTGGGCTTACTTGAATTTACATCCCTAATATCGTAGTCCCAAATATTATGTTTTCAAACTTATAGATATAAACCATAAATAATTATTAATTAATTTTACATCATCTAAATCGAATATATAAATTTATAAGAAAAAATTATAAAAAAAACCATATGTTTTGGATTTTGTCGACTTGTTTGTCGGTTTTTACAGGTCGACGGAAAAGTTGACGCTTCAAAATTTTTTGAAAAACTAAATTTTTTTTTAGTTTTATTGAAATGTTGACACCTTATTTGGTTAAAGTTTATATTATAATGCATAGTTCTTGAAAATCATAATACATAATAGAGTTTAGTTTTTGTAGACTTTTCTCGTGATTCGTCCCGGTTAAATTTGTTGAAAAACCGAATAAGTCGACAAATGACATATTTTATATCCTCTAAATCAAATATATAAATTAATTGCTTAAAATCCATAAAAGAATAAATAAAATATTAAAAAATGATAAAAAAAAACCATATGTTTTGAATTTTTTGACTTATTTTTCGGTTTGTGAAGGACGGTTAGGGTTTAGGGTTTCTAAGGTCTAGGGTTTAGGGTTTCTAGGGTTTAAGATTTAAGGTTTTAGGGTTTAGTGTTTCTAGGGTTTAGGGTTTAGGGTGTTTAGGGTTTAGGGTTTAGGGTTTCTAGGGTTTAGGGTTTAGGGTTTAGGGTTCAGGGTTCAGGGTTTAGGGTTTAGGGTTTAGGGTTTCTAGGGTTTAGGGTTTCTAGGGTTTAGGGTTTAGGGTTTAGGGTTTAGGGTTTCTAGGGTTTAGGGTTTAGGGTTTAGGGTTTCTAGGGTTTAGGGTTCAGGGTTTAGGGTTTAGGGTTTAGGGTTTCTAGGGTTTAGGGTTTAGGGTTTCTAGGGTTTGAAGGGTTTAGGGTTTTTAGTGTTCGGGGTTTAGGGTTCGGGGAAAAGATAAATAAGAATAAAATAAAAAAAATCAGCCAAAAAGGGTTATAACTGGGTCAAAATGAGGCCCGGGCCCAACAAGGATCAAAAGATAGTCCGGCCTTTTTTTTTCATCAAAACGACGCGGTTTTGCCCCTTGGACGCGGTTTTAACCTTACGCCGCCGACAAATTCCATATGCGGCCACGCTCCCACATTCACCGAATTGTCGTGCCGCTTAGTCCTCATTTGCGAAGCCGATCTGCTTCAAACTCCACGGCGAAGCTCCTTCATCTAATTTCTTGCACCTTCATCCTTGCACCTTTGTCAATTAGTTTATATTCCTCAATTGCTATGCTCTCTATCTCCTCTATCTTCTTCTAATTTCTTCTTTTTTCTCCTTTTTCTGAAACTTCTTCTGTTATTGTTGTTGTTCGCGAAGGTGAATTGATGATGCTATGTAGCTTTCTTTTACTCTGATTTTATTTAGAAAATTGAGAGTTTTTGACGGTTATTCCTTTATCAGAAAAATTGATGAGGAGGAAAAGGTATGATTTGAGGTTGAGTATAATGGTTGTTTTTACAGAGCGGCGGCAATGGTGTTTTCCGGCGATGAAACATTTCAGCGTCACAAGACTTGGACTTCTGACCGAGAGAAGACAAGGGCTGAAAAAGGAAAATTAAGATGTAAAATGAGTTGTACGATGGAGTTGACTTTATTAAAAGAGATATACATTTTGAAACTGATTATTATTATTATAAATTCTTTGTGACATTTTGGACCAAATCCAACCCGATTAGCTAAGATTGTCTGCTATTGATTCCCAAAGTCCCCTTAGGCCCATTAAGATTGGGAACCAAAATCACGCATGTTCTTTTTGCTTTGTTTATTTTTATATGCATGAAGTTTTTATTTTGATCACAATAGCGTAATTAAGCAACAATTACCAAAATATACTAAGCTCTATTTGGAATGTAAAAGTGTATGTCCTAGTTCCTTTGTTTATAACCATCAACAAAAACTTGTCCAAAATCGTATTGCAATTCTAAATGATTTCATTTTGATATTTAACAATCAAATAAGGTTTCGAATTAGTTTGAGAAGCTGTAGAACCAATGCAAAAAACAATATCACAATGGTCTTCGCGGATAAGGAATTTTCAAGGCCGGAAATGACAATAATAAATTTATATATGTAACATGTTCAACAATAACTTAATTTTGTGATTTAAAGAAATTAGATTCTGTGAGTTTTTAATTTCCGACAATGTTTGGTTGAATTATTTTTAAAAATATTTTATAAAATTTCAATTTCCTCCCCCAAAAAAAAAGGGGTAAATCATCATCATATACTGCCTATAAGACCCAAATAATCATCAGTAAAAAGGGGCAAAATATCTCAAGCAATTTACAAGAAAATTCAATGGAACTTCTTATTGCTTTCCACTCCCAGTCTATCGACAAAGCAGGACGATTGAATTTTACATCTAAATTCCAAGAAAAAAATTAGTCAATTCCTCCAGGAAAGAAAAGAAAAGGTGAAACCTTTGACTCAAAGTCAATTAATCCTTAAAGATTAAAGTCACTTAAGACTTACTTTCTTCAACCTTCATACAATTCTCATCTTTCTTTCCTTCTCTTCACTTAATTATTCAATCTTGATAGGTGCTTTCATATACAGTTGGACTAAATTAATGCGTATTTGGGACGGTTTATACTTAATTTATACCTATTCTACGTAGCTGACACTCCAACCGTTATTGATATCAAACTAAGCATTAGAAAAAGACTCCATGCATCTTTCAAGTACTATAAAGTCAACATGCTTAGTGACATAAAAATGATATGGTGGTACTACAAAAAGAAATAAATAAAATTTTTACAATTTGTATGGGAAAAAATTATATTTATGGTT